TCCAGCCTCACACACAAATCCCTCTGGCTGGCAGCAGCTCCGGGCCTGTGCTGTGGTCACCTCCCAGCTGGCCACTGTGGGCTCTGCTCCCAGCCAGCTCCAAACCAGCCACCACAGGGGTTGCTGACTCTGTACAGCCTCACGACACTCTGGGACAGCCTTTCCCTGCACCCTCACTGCTCCACCCATGCCAGAGTTTCTGGCGGCACCTCTCTCCTGGGTAGTCATAGTGGTGTACCCCATGTACATGTCTTTGGATCCCCAAGTTGCAAAGTTGTGGGGTGAAATTTCTCAATTACAGGTTTCTCCCATGATTGCCATAGCTCATTGCAGTCACTTGGGATAAAAGCAGGTTCAGAATTTCCTCTTTGGCAGAACAAAAATGGTCCTTCCAAGACTGGGATTGCACAAGCCACTGAAAACACATCCCAAGGGAGGAACAAGGCCTCAGCTGGAAAGGGGAACATCAGCATCACCTGCAGTCCTTCCCCCAGCTGGGCCACACTGTCCTGTATCCAGGACATCCCTCAAAACACCCCGCGAACCTCAGGATGCCTGCACTGCTTAACCCGGAGGAAACTCCCATCGGAGGCTTTGGTGCGGTTACATCTTCTGTTATTCCTGGCCTCTGCGGTTGTTTTTTTCAAAACAAAGGGAGTGTTTTCTATCCTTTAGGCCTGAGCAGACCAATTCATCTCTCTTTAGATGGGTTTGATGTGGCTTGGGAAACTGAACCGGTTGTTTTCCAAGCCCAGCATAACTCAGTTATGCTTCCTGTGGCTCAGCCACGGGTCCTGCAGCCTGGCAGCCACTGGGATGTGGAGACAGTTACCCTTTAGTCTACTTCAAGGCTGAGAACCAGCCCTTGCCCAGGCAGGTGTCAGCCACCTTCATGCTGCACTGGTTGGACTAAACTTTCCATAATTTTCTGAGCAGAAACTAGTCCCACCCACAACAAACACAGTCAGGTACTGGTCACCACCAGCCCAGAGCTCACAGCTTGGCTTGTTGGTGTCAGTAACCATTAAATTCACAGATTTTGACAGCCATGGAACCCCCAGTATGTGCCAGAGGGACTTGGGACTTGCTGAAGGACAAGGACTCAGTGGAGGATGCTCACAGTGTAGATCTCCTTGGGCTGGCACCTTAACACAGGCACTGCAAGCTTAAAATGCCATGGGAGAAAGGAAACAGTGTTCTGAGCTTTGGTCCCATCAGCCAGGATTCAGCTTCTGATAAAATGGGGGTGGGGACGGTGCAGGAGGAGGGCACCAGGAATGGGTGGAACAGGGAGAAGGTCTGGGCTCTGCACCCATCAGTGGGCTCCAGAAAAATGTTCCATCCAGGGCCTCAGCAAGTGGAGAGAGGCAGCCTCCACAGAAAACTGCCATAGGATTGAAGGTTCAGTGGGAGGCTCAAATCAGTTTCAGCTGACAGATAGGCAGGGGAGACTTTTTTACACATCACATAATTGTTTTTTACTTTTGAAATGTCTATTTCTCTTTTTTTCCCCCCCTATGAAATCACATGTATTTAAAGAAATTAAAGAAATCCTTCATAGAGTGAATTAAATGTCTCTGGTAAACCCAAATCACTTCACTCAGTACTTTGTCTCACTTAAAAAGAAAAAAAAAAAGTTTCAGTTTGACCTGGTTTTTCCTCCCTAATTTTTCAGCTCACACTGTTGGAAATAACAGTCTACATAGGTTACATCATTTGTGAGGAATCTCCTCTCATCTGTCTCCAAATGAATAACAACAAACATTCAAAAAATAATTGAAGTTTTATATATATCCCTTGGCCATTCAGGTGGTATGGCTGGCACGAGACACAGGCACTTTAAACAGCTGTTGTGAATCTTAAGTATAAACTTCCACCCTTTGGCACAGCACCAGGAAATTCTGCATAGGAATATACCTGCTCTGCCTTGCAGCAGACACAACCCACAGTGTTTGATACCTTGAGAGTGGACAGGCCTCAACTCCAAAAGCCAGGGACATAGAAATTGGCTCTTCTTGTCACTGAACTAGGGCAGCACCCCTACCCAGAACTTCATTGTTTTTGACCTGCCTACTTCCTTCTCCGCTTGTTCCACCTCATGACATTTATTGGAGGATGGATCAGCCATGCTCCCAGAAGCTGTTGTAAATACAACTGCACAGATATCACACATGCTGATGTGTAAGAGGTGCAGCTGAAGAGATCAGTTCCTATCCCAGGTAGGCTACACCTGAGCAGGTGCTAAAACTGCAAACATGCTCCTGGAGCAGGCTGCCCCACTGCTTCACACCTGCAAAAAGTTCATCCAACCTGTCCGTGTGACCCAGCACCTTAGGGGTGATCCTGGGCTAAACACCACAAGGACAGCACAAGGAAACAAACAGAGATTTCCTGTGCCTGTGCTCCCAGGGCATTGCTGCCAAAAGCCAGGTGCTGGCCGAGAGGGGCACATCGGGCTCTGGTGGGGCGCTCCAGGTCAGAGCCTGCCATGGCAGCTGCATTTGCATCAACAAGGCAGACACGGAACAAAACTGCTGCTGAGCAGGAAAGACCACACCAACTTCTGGGCTCCAGCTGCAGGGATGTGAACTCAGCCACCCACTGACAGCTCTGTGGGCCAGGGCAGGTTGGCAGGGGGCTGGAACCCTTGCTGACACCTTGCACAGGGACCAACACACTCTTTGTCTTCTTAGACAGTGGTAAGCCCCAGGCAGGGCACACCACCACCATGGTGAAGGGTTTGCCCTGCCTGGACCAGACACTGAGCCTATCTGAGCTGTGACCATTGACCCTTCCCCCTCACAGGGACAGCACAGGAGATCCACCACCCAGTTCTCATCAAACAGCTCTGGTTTGTGCAACATGCTCAAAGAACTTCCTTGGACCCACAAAGTTTTCCTCATGGGCTCAGTGGCTGCTGCACTTGACAAAACCAGCCTGGCATTATCAGCCTGCACCTCTCTGATCTCAGCCAACGAAAGTGTGACAAATCTAGCAGTGTTTCTGAAGCAGTAGCTCCAACAGACTTTTGTTAAAGCAAATTAAGCAGAGTACTGGTTAAAATATGCCCGCTCAGAGCTCCACATACATTAATGCCATCACAGAGTGTTGCGTCCCTTTCTCTTGAGGAGAATCCCAGTATAGCAATTAAATCCTCATTAACAATCTCCAACTATAAAGTAAATCAAATGCAAAGCCTTCATGGAAATCTCAACCCATTTCAGGGCAATTGAATATTTTCTGAATGGACAAAGTGAGGTTAAACACCACAGACCAGCTACTTCTCTGCTGTGGAGGTCAGAGAGGGACCTGTCCAGCGGGGCTGCTGACAGCCACCTCTAACCAGCTCCCAGCCCGACCCCTGAGCACAGCCTGGGACAGCAGTACCATGTGCCCCACGCACAGGGCTGTCCCTTACTGGGCACAGGATGGATTTCCCCTATTTCTGTTCACTCCTTGAATATCTCCTACCCAGAGCACCCTTCTGTCCAACGTGAAGGTCCTCTGAAGGGAACCTGGTATAAATTCTTCTCACCTTTTCCCCTGCTTCTGTTGTTAATAAGGCCTGAAAGCAGATGTTCAAATACAAACAATGTATCATCAACCATCAGCGAGCAAAACTCTCCAGCATCACCTAATCCAAGTGAGCATCGATCTCTTCCCCATGCTGCCTTTCCACAGCCTGAGGAGCCTGTCCCACTGCTGTCCAGGAAATACTCCTGTAAACCAATGACATGAGCTGAGGCCCCAGTTGCATACCAATCGTATGGTCCCTCACTCCCATGTGCCAATGTCCCACTGTGGGACAGGGAGCAGATCCTCCCTGGTTGCTCCCAGACTCAATCTGGAAGAGGAGATCCCTTCTGCCCAGACTTCTCCAGCCTTTCCTGCCCCCACCCCTTCAAATTCCTCCAATGGCAAGCAAACCCTGTCATTCTAACAGTGAAACCATCAGGGCCATGGGCCATGGCAGTATTTCAAGGAGAAAAAAGACACCCATAAAACCTTTCTCACTCTGGAAATCATCTGGGTGTCTCCTCATGGAGGTACTAACACAGCAAATCTCCAGCTGCTCCCAGTCCTCCACCCTAGCACTCCTCTGAACTTTCCCCAAATCCTTCCCACATGAATCAATCTGAAGACAAAGCTGGCAAAGCCTTCCAGCCCCCATCAACCAATTCCACCACTGGGTCCTGTTCCTGTGCTTGTCTCCAGGTGCCCCAGGAGAGCAGGTCCCACTAATCCCCTGGGACAGGGGGTTTTTGAGTGACCACCTGTGCTTCGCTGGCATGAGGCATCACCTGTACAGCTGCCCAGCTCCTCCTGGAGCAGCATGGAGTGACCCTGCTTAGCACTGCTCATTTTTCTCTAGGCTTGCAAGGTTTGGAGATTGGTTCAGATAAGCATCCTCAAGCTTGCATGCTTATCTGCACCATCTTCCAAACAGCTTTGATCTGCAGGATTTGGCTGCAGCTCTCAAAGTTATCTTGGGAAAGCTTGTTCTGGGGAGAGTCATTCTCCTGATTAACAAGAAAAAGCTTTCTCAGTGGCTTTGAGCATTTCCAGCCCTGGCTGTAACCAGGGACTGTAGCCATGTCTGCACACAGAGAGAAGGAAAAGCCAAGTGAGCTTCTCCTTAAAACTCCACATGGGCTCCGTTGCCATTCCAGCTAAAATCTGAGGTCAGGTATTTCATCTTGCTTCTTTTCCCCACTTTCTGTTTGTGGGGCACTTTACATCCCCCATATCCAGTGCAGAATTCCTGGAAGGAAAGCTGGCTGGACTGACCAGGGAAACAAATCCCTGGATGAGCTGGGTGAACCATGCAGGACAAGGGAGAGGGATTTGTCTGGCTGAGGGAGAAGGTTTAAAAGGCACAATTTTGAATTAAACAGCTGAAAGCAAGAACCCCTCTAAAAGCTCTAATGAAGGAAACACAAGCCACACATATGCAGCCAGATACTCATTCTCCAGTTTACTTTCTGCTTGGCTTCCACAGCTTTAGGAAATATTCCTTGGAATGAAAAGTATCAAATATGCTGCTCTCAAAAAACACTGGTGTGGATTCCCTCACACTCATCCCACCATCACCCCACTGAGACTCTTCCTCGTGGCAACAGCCAGGGAGGAAGAGGAAGATGGTATTAAGGAACAGGAGGAACTACAGAATCAGCAATGAAGTTTATAGTGGGGAAACTGCCCTGGACGTTTCCTGCTGGCCTCGCATAAAGGACAAATATGCATTAAAAAAACACTACTCAGGGAGAGGAAAGAAGTGTGAACAGCAAAAATATGTACATATGTTTTAAATAATTTTTTTAATTGTTGAGGCAGTAATACTTGGTTCATGGAACTGCAATATACAGAGAGGTGAAATAAATAGCTTATATATATATAATATATATAATATAGCTGGTTTTAAAATATTCCCTTATCATTGGTGTACTAGGTCATCTTGTAGTCACTTGAATGTAGTTAGCAGCATTCTCCAGAAGTGAGCAGGATGCAGGATCACGGAGCCGTGACTCCCTATGTCGTCAGGAGGGTTACAGAGGGTTGGTGCGCCGAGAGCTCCACGGGCTCATCCCTGCAGCTCCCGCCGCCTGTCCTGGCCGGCGGGCAGCAGGCAATAAATAGATTACTGCAACTGGCACTTGGCAGGGCAGGGTCTCAGTAACTTTGGGAAAGAACTTTGGTTTTCTTTGGTTTTATTTATTTATTTTTAATTTTTTTTTATTATTATTATTTTTTTCCCTCTGGGGATATGCTTGAGAAGTTGTCCTTTCCAAAAAAAGCAAAATAAGCACCTGTGTGTCATCAACAACAAGAAGTCAATTTAAATAGAGCAGTTCATTTCATTTTTCAAGTCACAATAAATCCCGAACAGCTTTCCCCAGCATTTGCCATCTAGTCTTTTATTAATTTTTTTTATTTTTATTTTTTTAAACACAATGTACAAAAATAGAGCTTCTTCCTTATTTTTAATGTAAAAATATTCCTCTGGTGCAGTTTTTTTTTTTTTTTCTTTTTGTGGTTTCTTATTGTGACACTGTTTTTGTCTATTTTTAGCTGGGGTTGGTGGGTCGTATTCTCTTAGTCCTCTTGGTGACTGTTGTGTACTTGAAAGGTTTCTGTATCTCCATTTGCCCCTTTGGGTATCTCTTCATAAAGTGTACATCTTGCTGGTTTTCCCGGGTCTTGGGCCCTTTCCGTGGTCTCCCTTTTTTGGTGAATCCAACATACCAGCCTGAATATTTTGCAGACATCAAAGCTGTGTAGTTGTTTTCTAGGACTTTTTCAATGAAGACACACTCCTTACTGGTGCCATCAGGCTGAAAAAAGAAAAAAAAAAAAAAAAAAAAAAGAAAAGAAAAAATAAATAATCCAAATGCAAGCTCAGTGACCAAAACTCAATTTGGCATAAATAAAATCATCACATCTGGACCTCTTTTTTGGTTCAAACATTGTTAATAAGAGCCATAACAAGCATCAGCTGAAATTAAAAAAAAAATATTTAAAGCATGAAAGTGTGAGGTCATAATTTCTTTTTTTAAAAAAAACTCTTATCCAAGGGGAGAAAAATTTTTCAAAGACAACGTTTAAGTTTATCCAGTCCAGTGCCTTCAACTGCAAGCAAAGCAAGACACCCAGCTTTGCGTTTTTCCACTAGAGAGAGAGAATGAATTGAACTCATGCCAGGGAAACATCATATTAGTCAGAAAAAACCCAAACCCCAGAATCTCACGTGGCCCAAACAACAGCGTTTCCCCTTCTACCCCTCACTTCTGATGTTTTCTGAAATACCTTATGGGCTTTCACCCACAACTACCCAAAGCCCACTAAAATTATTACAAGCCTCAGTCTAAGCCTCCACAGCAGTTTGAAAACCCTCTCTTCCCATGTGATCCCAGGGCAGCCCCTGGCAGATGGACCACAGGGTGGTGCCCCAGGGGTGCTGGAGCTGCAGGGGTCCCTGGCCCCACTCTGGTCCCTGGGACCCTGGAGAGCCCTGAAGCCAAACCAGGCTCAGCTCAGCCTGGAGATCAAGACTACCAGAGACCCAGAAGTGGGCTTTGAACACGGCAGAACACGGATTCTGCGTTCAGCACAGGCAGCACTGGAGGGAGTGACAGCATCAGACAACTCCATCTTCAAGTGCTTGAGCACAAAGGAAATTCTCCTCACCCATAACAGAAAACATCTTGCCCTTAACTGCTGCGTTACTGGTGCTGTACCTAGAATGCCACATGTCATGTGCACCTGCACTTTGATTTGTGCATCAGAAGATGCTGAGCAGTAGATACAGGATAAGTAGTTATGAACCGACCCACAGGACTTCATTTAACGCTCAGCAAAGCCAACACAAGGCCCATAATAACCCAACATAATAGCCCAGTTCAGCTCCCCACTGAAATCAAATGAGTTTTTTGGAACTGCAGGCCTACATATGCTACTATTAAAGCCTGCCCACCCAAAGTAAACACTGTCAGACCCTCTCAGTCTTTAGCCATCACATCCTGGGGGCAGGGAAGCTGCAACAGTGTGAGCTGCTCAGCCCCCAGCTCTGCTCAGGGGCTCCTCTGGCCACGAGACTGGGGCGAGGAGCTGAGCCCTGCATGGTCACCATCCCTCCCCCAAGGACAGCTCTGCCTGCTCTTCCAGGGGAGCCATCCTAAAACATGCTGCACAATCCCTGTGGAGTTTGCTGCAGTTTGTGGGAAGGGCAGGGGACCATGGAACAGGAGAGAACCCCACCGGGTCATGCTGCACAGGCTTCCCTGCACCTTGAGCCCCAAACACTCCAGACACAGGGGAACCATCAGGCACCATGACCAGGCTGGAGGCAGCAGCAGAGGAGAGCCAGGCTGGTCTTCACCAGCCGCCAGGGCCAGCCATTCCTCCAGGACTCAATGCCTTTAGCAGAGCTTTGGTTCCATCCCAGTGACAGAAGGCGATGTTTGCCCTGAGGTCAGCACCACAGGCTCCTGCCTCAAGGCTCTCGGCACCAGGGAAGGTCTCATTAAGAGGGCAAATTCTGGCAACTTTTGCAACAATTCTGCTAATCCAGGGACTCTGCCTTAGGAGCAGCAGTCTCCATCCTGGATAGGCACAAAGGTCCTCATTTTACCATCCACAACTGGAAGCTCACAAACGCTTTAATGAACAGCAGAACTGGGCAAAGCTCAGTGGTTCCAGTTCCTGGGGGTGTCATTCTCCAAGTCCTGGGTTTGATCAAAGCCACATGAGTGGCAAAGGGGGAAATCAGTCAACACCACAGGGTTCCACCAGATTTCAATGGGAAGCCATAAAACCAGCTCCAGGTTTCTCAGAGCTCAGCCCACTACAAACCCTTCCCCAGTGAGTGGAGAATTTTTAAACAATACCATGGCTGGGATTCAAATCCACCCAAACCCAGGTGCCTGTGAACCGACCGGATCCATACCGCAGGGGGAGCAGGTAATTGGAAGGGCTGTTCCCCCCATGCTTGTGGAAAGGGACTGGATTTGAGCCCTGACCTTGTTGCTAGGAGAATTAAGGGTTTTTCATGCAATTTGGGAGGTTTCCACTTGTACTGCAATGTCAGATTTTCACAGAAAATGAAGACTGGAATGAAAAGAAAACATGTGTGTAGGAGGGGGAACTTACTCTATTAATAACAAAAAAGTATTTACTTATACCTTCAAATTTGCTGACAGAGCCTAAGACGGAGACAGGAGGTGGAGGGATAACAAGGTGCAACTTCAGGCCAACCTCAGGGCTAATTTGAAGTAAACAAGGTGCATGAGATAAAATAACTTCGTTCTGGAAGAGGAAGAGCTAAATGGTTTGATAACATGAAATTACAGAAACATTTACAAGTACCTAGAGATAAATCAGGATGAGGATCTCACTTCCCCAAACAGAGCATTCCTGTATGTGCTAAGACACGTCACAGGCACACAAATGATTTTCAAATACTGACAAGATAATTTTACAGTTCCTCTTATGATCACCAACAGGATGAATCATTCACAACAGTTACCTCCACCATGAAGAGCTGTACCCACAGCTATCTATTAGGGGAAAAATCAATTTGTTTTCAGTAATTTTTAAGTATCAGGTGCCCAACATTTAAAATTTAATCAGTTCCCTATTTAAGCCATAGCAAATCACTCTTTTGGCCTGTCAGCCGTCTCCTCACTCTTCCAAAGAGAGGGGAGTGAAAGGGAAAAGGGAGACAGCCTTGGCCAAGCATCACTCCCTGCTCCAGCCACGGGCTCACCCTTCCCCAGGAGCTCCTGGTGTAGCTGGCCTAGAGCTGCAGCCTCCTTCGCCACCAACACCAGCTGGGAGCTGCTCCAAGCCACCTTTCACACACCCTGTGCTGGCAGGGATGCACCCTGCAGAGCACTCACCCTCCAAAACACCCAGCTCTGTGTTTTCAACAGATTCCTGACAATAAAGAAGTTCTTGAAAGCCCTAGAGCTGCACAGGGGCCATCTGGCCCAGTGTGGTGGCCTCAGGACAGCAGAGGTCTCACACCCAGCCCCACATCCCTGTCCCCTCCATGGCAGGGATGAGGGCTTCATGTGCCCCACATGTGCCCACTGGCTGCTCCTGCCTTTTGGCCTCACCATCCCACTGGCAGCAGCTCCAGGCACGCTCCCTGCTCAGAGCAGAGGCACAACGCTGCTCCTGCAAAGGCTCTCTGCAAGGCAGAGACCAAATTGCTGGTGCTGGCCCAGGGGCTGCTGCCCGGCCATGCAACGAGGCCGTGCCACCTTGCAGGTCAGTTCTTTGCAGAGAAATCATTCAGAGCATGTTTTGGTTTAAACACACCCCAACAGCTTTGGGAAGATGTAATATCTAGTAGCCAAACTTCTGATAAATGGCTTATAAAATGTCTGATCTAAATGCCACCTGGCAGGGGAAGCTCTGGGGCGTGGCCCAGGTCTGTGCAGAGTGAAGGGGAAGCACAGCCTGAGCAGCACCAAGGGCTGGCTCATGCAGAGCATCTCCTGCAACACGGGCTGGGCAGCAGCCCCGCTGGCAGAGGGTTGGTGCCCAGCGCCAGGCAGGCACCTGAGCAGTGCCAGAGCTTTTACAGAGCAGGGCTGGAGCAGGGCACACGAGGCTCCAGTACAGGTCTGAGTTTCTGCGTGCAGCTGAGGGCAGCAGAGCCAGGGGCTCTGTGAGTACACGAGGAGCAGCCCCGCATTGTTTGTGCAGAGCATTTGGCGAGGGGCACTGCAGTCTTAAACATGAAACATGTTGAACTGACACTAAAGCAGAATTAAGTGCCAAAGCATTTGCTGCTTCTACAATTACACTCCGGAGCGCTTTGGTGCTCCTGCTCTCCTTTTTATGACCCAACTTGGTCTTACTGTAGTTTGGCTTTCTCGTTTTAAGTTCTCCAAATGGAAAGGATCAAAGAGTTCTTTGTTGTCGTAGCAGGAGAGCTCCTCGGAGTGAGGCATTCCTGCCACGAACAGCTTGCAGCTCAGGGGGAGTTCGCGGCCGCTCTGTGCCACCAGCCCGAGCCAAAGCATCAGCAGGTGCAGCAGCCGCCTCCGCCTTCCCCCGCCGCCTGCCGAGCCCGGCCCGGCCCAGCCAGCCGAGCAGCCCTCGGTGGCACACGGAGTCCAGGGCAGCTTTTCTCATTTACGCCTCGCAAATCTGGCGCAGTGGGCACCGGAAAAGCCAAACTTCCCTCGGCTTTCACAGCAAGAATGAGCCCTTGCCAGCAGCTCGGCTAACACCGCCGAGCGGGGAGAGAAGCCTCCAGGACGGAAAGTTTCTCTGTTCGCAACGATCAGGGAAAATTAAGCTGTTGTTAGCTAAGCTTAGGTGAAAGCGCTGCCCCTCCTCAGGCGCTGCTGCATTTAGGAGCATTCTGGGCGAGATGTGCTGCAAATGACAACAAACCCCAAACGCCACCAGACGTGTGTGCCGAGCCGGGAATGCCGCCTTGGCACAGGGCACAGCGAGCCTCAGCGCTCCAAGGGACAGGGGCCGAATTGTCACCTTCCTGCCCCCAGGCTGCGCTCACAGCAGCATCTCCCTCTGCGAGGGAAGCAAGCCCCCGCCTCCCAAAAACTCCGGAGCGGGGAAAGCTACCGCTCAAGCCAAGAGTTTCCGAGAGGTGCACGCACTCAGGCTTTTACACGGAAAACCAAGGAAAACGGACCCTTCTTGCAGCCGTCCTCCTCTCCCCCTCCACAGACCGACAGACAGACAGACAGACAGACAGACAGGGGGGAGTCCCCAGCACGGGCACCCCACCACGCTGGGTTTCATGCCACCCTCATGTGCGAGGCACACCCACTGAGCTCAGCAATCATTTCAAAGGGCT